CTTGCTGGTTCTCAGCAGGGAATGAGTTGGAATGACCCCGAGAGAAACCTATCCCCCTATGGTTGCTTTCTTCAACCCTAGGTTCATTCCCAACAACTGGAAGGCAATTCCCTACCTCTCACACCAGCAAGAAAAATAATCATAGAACCTGCACAGGGGTTCCCTTAGGAACATGGTCTGCCAGAATGCCTGGTCAGCTTCTACGATGTTCTGAGTATGTTTATCATTGAGAGGATACCCCGTGAACTCCATTTGTGGTGAAGCATGTGATCTTTGCGGGGAAGATGATTGGCATTGGGGGATCCGCTTGCCAGTCACCAGTTTGGGTTTGGCCATGTGTGGTGGTTGATCTTGGTTTTCGTCATGGGTCCAAGGCAAAATCGGAGAGCCATGTTTTATTGCTGTTTGAAAGAGACACCAACATTGTTGTTTGCTGGCGGCCCCCCCTTTTAGGAAACACCAATAATATGGGGGCCGGTTGCAGTTGACACCTTGTATTCATCATTATCCAACTCTGAACTATCACCTTTGCCATCACCGGCTTTTGCATATGGGTGTGTGTGTGTGTGTGATTGTTTTTGACATCAGGTTTTGTGGGTAGTGTACCGGCAAACCAAAGCAACATCGAGCATTCTTAGGGTGCAAGAGAGTAGATTGACACATACCCACAATATATATGTTAGACGAGCCAATGGGTTTTTTGCGGCCGGTCAGCCGGTCAGGTGGCTGGATTTCAAGAACCACTGCCTCACGGCGCGGTTCCCGGAGGTCTTCGATTCCACGCCTTCGCACTGTGGCAGCCCACAGAGCTGCCCGAGCCCGCAGAACGCTGAGAAGTGCGACAGGCGGGGCCCGACAGACGGACGGACGGACGGACGGACGGACGGACGGACGGGCCGCGGGGCATGGGGGCCTGGGGGCCTCTGTGCGCCTTGGGATTTCGCCTTTTTGAGGCAAGGGGCAACCATGTGATACTGAGCCAAACAAAAGAGATGTTCAGTGGCGATTTGTGGGGCAAAAGGCAAAAATCTACCAGGATCCCGTGACCCACAAGGCGCCGAATCTGCTTCCGCGCCGCTCCGAGCGCCTGACGCCTGGCTGTCGGAAGGTCCAAGATCCGAGTGCTGGTCCTGGGCCCGGGCTTCGGACGGGAGCGGAACCCTCACCAGGCCGCCATGCTCGTCCAGGCGCGGATTCTCGCGTTTTTTCGGTCGAAGCGATTCGGTGGGGGGGGGGGGTTGACGAGTTCTGGGAGCCATGGAAGACAGTCGGGTCCCTTTAATCGGTAGAAATGGACGTGGACCTCTGATTTCTTTTGGCATTTCGAGAAGCATCGGTCATGGTTGCTGTGAAGGGAATTGTGCTCATGAACCACATAGCTAAAGATTTGACAGTGCAGATCCTTGATTTAAGGTCCAATGTTCTTATTGCAGGTCTTGGAATTATGTTGTAAACATTGCAGCTATAGGTGGTTGATGATTGGATGGCGCGGTTGGGACCTGTCCACCCTGGATGTTTTCTCGGGGGATTGAAGGTGCGTTCCGGAGGTTGGGCTGCTGCGCTATTCATGCAGATACATGAGGTTTTTCGGTTGCCGCTTTCTAGTCACCGACCTTCAGAATGATAAATTAGACGTGACATAGCCCATGGCGGCTTTGCCAACTGAAAACCTTTGGGAAACTGCAAGTTTGCAGTGAGTTTCCGCGACTCTTTGGTGGGGCAATACTTTTTCGACGGCACACTTCTTGGGCTCTGCCTTTGCTTTGGGAAGCCAGCGGGAAGCCGGTCCAGTTTGGGCACCAAATTGAACGCTCCGGGAAGCCAAGGGCAGTCCGGGGAGCGAAGCCTTTGCTCAGGCGGGGTTTCAGCTTCACTGGGTGAGGGACTTGCAGGAGTTCCCAGATGCCAGGGCCCCGGAGGGAACTGGTGCTAACCGGTGCGAGTCCGTGAATCCGGTTGCGGATTTGTGGCGTTTGATTGGTTGGAGGGTTTGGGGTGGGGTTGGTGGTGTTGTGGTTTAGTGCTTTGGTGGTTCGTTCGCCAGTTTCGTGGATTGATGCATTGGTTTGGCGTTCGGTTTGGTCTAGGTGTTGACACGTCGTGGTCGTGATTTGGTTTTCTGCGGCATTCTGGCTGGGGCATTCTGGCTGGGCTTATTTGAGCAGAACGTGCTCAGAAGGGTACACAGAAGTCGTCAATTTCAAAAAGAGGAACCTCTTAAAAGTGGTGGGCATGAACCCACGCCTAATTAAATGATGCCCACGGGTCCCATTGTGCCCCCTACCAAGCATCACCTTCCCCGACTCCAGGCCTTGCCGCGCACTTTCAACCTTTTGACCAAGAAAAAGCATGTGGTGCGCTGAGGTTGGGGCCTGGCAAGAGCTGAGCTCTGATCTCCTTTTTGGAAGATCTAGACCCTTTCCTTTGAAGCCGCCACGAGGTTGTCCTTTTGTAAACGTCGAACGCAGGTCAACAGGGACACCAGGGGAGGTTGGGGTTTGGGGTTGGTGAAACCGAACCCCCTTCAAGCAGAAGGGACCCCCCCTGAGCCGGGCCCCAAACCCAACACCGACTGTTGGGTCCCCTCCCTTCATCCCACAAATTCCCATCCATGCCACCGCAAAAGACATGGCCATGGGGCATAACCTATGGCTCCATTTTCGGGTGGATGAACCTCCATTTGCCACCTATTTTGATGTTCACCAGGGGGTTCCAGGGTTTTGACCCACAGCCACATCGATTCGAGGACGGGGCACGTCTCACCTACCACCTGGTGGCTCCCCATTTGCCGAAGATCCGCGACGAGATCCAGCGAGTCCGGCCCAGCGCAGTGCTTTGCGCCTCCCAAGGAGCGTCAACGCCGACAGAACTCGCGGAACCCAGCTGCCCAGTGGTGCCCTTTTTCCTTCTTTTTGTTTTGAAGGGTTCCCCTGTCAAGTCAACCAACCAAAAACGGATGCCCACTGGGCATCTGGGGGAAGATGCCGGGCCCCGTTTGCCAAAAAGACGAGACCTGTGTTTCTCCTGATGGTAAAGGGAATCTGCCCTCCTGTTTGCTATCACGGAAGCCACCGGAGGGTCCCTTTTGTAGGGAACTAGTCTTCCAGGACTCCTCAGTCAGGTTCCATGTTAGTGGACAGGAGTGCGTCACTACTGTTTTGGTTCTTCTTCTTTTTTCTCCGGCCTGAAGCAAACGGAGGGGGGAGCTTGTGGTGGGAACCTTTTTCTTTTTTCTGTTGTGTTTCAGGGAGGGATCGCAAACGAGGACACGGATGACCATGTACCCTCACGAGAAAACGGTTGCAAGGGGTGAGGTGTCCAATCACCAGCCAGCTTGTCTTTCCCGTTGTTCTGCCTATTGTAAAGGGTTTCAAGCGATTCCACTAATTGTTAGACCACAAACTGGTCTAAAGAGAAACTGTTTGGGGCCAAAGTACGTTTTTTAGTTTCCTCCTGGGCCAAACCGGATTTGTTCGGCTTGGAAACAGCCAGTTGGTGTTGCGTCCATTCGCGGAACATGCGCAGTCTCCATTTTGCGCAAACCCCGAGGTAGCCTGACCCCCAGGTTCCTGTTTGGGAAAGCGTTACGTGAGCAGATTCGTGTTTGTCGCCAAAAAAGAGACAGAAGGATACTCGTTTCAGAAACAAATATAATGGGTGCATGTTCTGTTTCAGGTGGTCCTTCTGCTTTTTCAGAGGGAAAGCCTTTGTTGCTTCCTTCACATTGCGTCTTTTGATGGATACCTCTCTGCTGCTTGGAGAATTCAAATGGAACCGATTTCCTTAGGGGAATCCCTTGTTTGACCTCCCTTTTGGTAATTCAAGGGAAGCCGAAAAGAAACCAACCGTTTTAGGAACCCCTATTTTGACAGCACCCGATTCAGTGTGTGATTTGTTGAGGGGGAGCCCTGTGGCGCACTCGTGTGAGTGTTAAATAGAATTGACAGCACAACTAGGGAGCCACAAGTACCACCGAGATGCCCCAAAGTTTTTCTCAAGCCACAAGAGGTTGTTTGCTCCGAACCCTTTTTGCAGGAGGTGCTTACCTGGTGGGCCTTTGGCAGCTAGGCTTTTGGCAGGCAGGGAGGGGAGGCTGGCTGATCTGGGATCTCTTTTGAACTTTGACAATTCGAGGTTTACGAAATATGGACCAGACGCCTGCTGTGCTTCTGAGGTCGTAGTGATTGTTGCGGAATGCTGTTGGTTGTTGTTGGCTGCCACCTGCTGTGATAGCAAGGAACCGCCCTATGCATTGCCAGACTTATAGCTTGCTTTTAGCACTTTGAATGTTGGTGTTTTCCGCATGTTCCCTTTCAAAAAGCTATTTCACAGGGGGGCTAAGTCTTGCGCAGTTTATATTGATAGACTAGTTGTGGGGATGGGAGTGTCACTTTGGTATCACAGGAAGGTGTTTGGGAAACATTCGCAAGGTTGTCGCGGCAGCAGATCGAGGCTTGGTGTGTTCGATGCTCTTCTCCGCAAGGGATGCCAAAAGGGAGACAGCGGGTTGCCGGATTGCGTTACATGGTCCAATCCCCTGCGAAAATTTTCGTGGTTTCTACAGACAGCACTGGGTGAAGAGAATGGGGAATCAACCCTGAGATATTTGATCCGTGCGGCCTTCACACCGCTTGGGCTTCTTTGCTTTCGATTCTCTCGGCTGCCTTCTTTGGCGTTTTTTTTTCCGGGTCGCGTTGTTCGTTTTGACCACGGATTCCAATTTTCGCGTGAGGCATCCACGTCCCTGTCACTGGTTTGGTCACCAGGTATTTCTTTCACCAAACAAGAGCACAACAAACCAGTTTGGGAGACAAGTTGAGCTTGTCAGCACCTCTAGTTTTTACCACGGCAGTGTCCTTTGGCCACTTCCTCCAGGGCCAAAGGAGCGGCTACCACAGTTGGAACCATTTCTTTGAACATATCCATCCCCCTAGGTATATCAAGACCATATCAAATAGGTTGGCACAATCCAATCGGCTCCAGATCAAAGCTGCCAAGCC